CCCCACCCCCCCCCCCCCCCCCCACCGGCCCAATTCCCTCCCTCCCTCCCTTATGTGGTATTTCTTTTTTCGCTTCTCCTCCCTAATTTCTTCTATGTGTTTTACTGCAGATTTATACTATTGAAGACAGGGCAGAGGTGCATGTCTATGTTCCCTCTGCAAAAGAATCATGTAGATTTTATGACAAAGCATGGTGTTCTTATGTGGAGCTGAAAGATAAGATTGAAGCTTCACGGTCCAAGGTATTCTTTCCTTGTTCACATATATCAAATTATGTGGTGGAGGTGGCACTTTCAAAGAAATTTCTAGCTTTGAGATTTGTGGAATGAGTGGTTTGTTGGTGTTGATACTGCTATGTTTTTGTTTTGAGTGGATAGTTTGATGCTTCAATGTTAGCTTTGCAAGGCTCAATACAAAGTTGTTACAAAGATATGGATGACAAGCTTAAAGCAACGAGAAAGCAGTTGTCCAAGGACCACGTAAAGATTTTGAATTGCCTAGAAGATCTTGGCCTCATATGTGCCTATGAGGTATGATTGCAATCACAGTAATTAAACACTAAGGAGAAAATCCATTAAATGCTGATATGTAACGCCCATGCTCTATGTTCTTCTGCTGTCACTCTGTATTCTTTCTATTATGTTAAATGCAGTAGCTATAGGCTATACTCATGATTTTCATAAAATGTGTTCATGAATACTACTCCCTCCATCCCAAAAAGCGTTCTTTCATTTTGGGTTTGTCTAAAGTTACCATAAGAAAGTCAAAAGAAATGTATATTTTATTCTATTCTACCCTTGGTTGAAAATTGATTTCAATTTTTCCAACTCTTGAAAAGCATACTTAGATTAGAAATTTCTTAAGTTGATATGGAATAACTGAGGTGACGCAATATTTTTAGGCATTCTTAATGTGCATATAATAAAAAAAGACACTTTGGAACAAAGAGAATACCTCAATTTCTTTGTTTTCCTCTAAGGGTTTATTTGGCACATGGTTAGAAAATTTAGGTGAAATTTTTCATGAGTAATTATTACAAGAATGATTGTTAAGGGTTTAAAATTAGACTTTTAAACATACTTGGTGTGTTGATAAATGGAAGGGTACATTTTTTAAGGAAACAAAGGTTGAGATATTGTTAGTGAGAAGAGAGAGAATTAAAGATTGTTTAGGTGTGTTCTTTGAGGGGAAAAAAAGAGTTAGAGAAATTGAAATATATATAACAGGGGCAGGGGGGTGGCAGGATTATCCCCAAAGGTATATCACTAGGGTGATTCTTATCCTCCATCACCCCCAAATGTAACTCACATGGCTTTTATAAAGATAAAGGGAACAAGGATTTTTATTTTGCAGTTGTCTCCTCTTGTGATTGCAGTTTATTATTTCTCACTTTTCTTTCATATAGGCCATCAAGGTTTGTCTAGAGAATGCCGGTAACCCCACTGGTGAATGCAAATTATATCAAGAAATTTCTTTGCAGTGTAGATATTTCCTTGAGGATGTGTTACATATAATTGGTGAATCTTTGCAGCATGGTATGATAATAGCACCTTTTATACTTTCTCGTTCCTAAGAAGTTGTAAAATATTGCTTTTCAGCTAATTGCATACTTGCTGTAAATGAGGCGTGCTCAAATCTAATGGAAACATTTTTATGTTCCTTTGTCCTGTATTTATATACATGGTTGTTGATAAATCACTTGCAGTGGTTGACATTGTTCGCTTGCCTTATTTAGCATTTCAATATTTGGATGTTGGCAACTGTCTTTCGCGCTGAAGGGAAAAAAAAAAAAAAACCTTTGCATTTCTCAAAAACTGTGTTATTTGTTCTTGTTTATGATAAGGTTTCTCACAGTTAATCCCATAGTGGGATTTTGTAGCTGCCATTTATTTATGGAACTATCTGGCTTTGAATGTTACTTTTTTTTTTTTGTTATGAATTGTTTGGAGTATTTGGAATCTGTTAAACACGTGCATCTTTTGGCTTTGTTTGGGTTCATGGCAATGAGACTGCATGGAGGAGGACTGCTTTGATTGGGTGACCGATTGGAAAATTTTAAAATAATATGAGCTTTAACTATTGGAGTAATTAGTGAAGATTAATGATGCATCAACCACCTACCAGGATGCATCAAGGATCGGATGATGCCACTTGTGACTCAAGTAGTTACTTGAGAATTGTAAATTAACCGTGACTGATCATGCTGTAATTTACTCCTATATAGCATCAGCAACCAAAATTGAGCTTGCATAAGGCAGTCTGTGTGTGTGAATAGCTGAGGGGAAAGAGAGAGCGATAAGATATAACTATAAAGGGCACTGCATCTGGATAAACAGGTAAAAGTCCCATGCCTGTGGATTGAGGAATATTTAAATTGTCTTGTAATGCATGTCAAGGTGCTGCCAAGGAACTGAGGGCCTTATAGAGCACAGGATGGGTACAGATAGAGCTAGTCCATCCCTTATGTGAATCAATGGTTTGGACAAAACAAAGCTTACCTCTTGCAGTTAGCTTCATCTGGTGTACAGTAGCTTACTACTTAAGTTGAAAGAGAGTATAATTTAGGTTCAAACAATGTAGTATCTCTCCTAGATTCTATTTCATCAACTCCTCCCATCTCACTCCCACAATTATTATTTTCCAGTTATTTCTTATGTATTCTGTTATTCATGAGCAAGCAATTCATTCATAGTGCATAAAGATACTGTCTCTGGAGCACAGTGCCAGTGAATATTTTGCGCCTGATGTTTTTCCTTGCGATATTGCCTTGCTGGAGACACTAGTATGTATTTTGATTGTGCTTTGAGTATGATGCTTATTACCGACATTATTCCTTCTCTTAACTCAGGTGATAATTTCTTTTTGGATCATGGGCTCGCCTGTTCAGCAGCATTGGGTTTTGGCTACATATCCCCCAAACTACATGAACTTCTCCAACTTTTTCTATCATTTGGGTAATAGAAATATTTGCTTATCTTTTTATTTTATTTTTGTATCCAAGTTGATTTACTATCCTTTTGTGGTTGCAGAGAAGATAGGGAAGTATTGTGCCTCATTTTTGTTGAAAGAATTATTACAGCGAAGGTGGTTGAAAGATTTCTGAAGAAATTTGAGGTTTTAGCACATTTCACTGTTTCATATTTGACTGGAACTAATGCATCAGCTGATGCACTGGCCCCAAAAATGCAAATGGAGACCTTGGAATCATTTCGCTCTGGGAAGGTATATGTTCTTCAGCATCATGAATTGTTCGCAAGAAGTTGAAAACGCGATAACAAACGGGTAACTTTATGCAGGTCAATCTATTATTTGCCACTGATGTGGTGGAGGAGGGAATTCATGTGCCAAACTGCTCCTGTGTAATACGTTTTGATCTGCCTAAGACAGTCCGCAGTTATGTCCAGTCTCGGGGACGAGCTCGACAAAATAATTCCCAATTTATCACCATGCTTGAAAGGTGATGCGTCTTCATCCATTTAGACTGCAGTCACACTGAAGCATCTTTGATATGCTTTCCGGCACAAAAAGCAGCTGTAGCGTAGCAAATAGAATGGGGTCTTCATCTTTGTTTTTGTGTGTTTGATATTGTGATCGTGTAGACCATTACAGTTGTGATAGAATCCCTAGTTAAAGCTCTTGCATCATAAATATGCTTGGCGCATGATTGTTTTCATGTATATGTTATCAGTAAACATTGTATAACAGTGCATATACTTGCAGGGGAAACACCAAACAACGGGATCAGCTGTTTGAAATTATTAGAAGTGAGTGGTCAATGACAGATACAGCTATAAATAGAGATCCTAATGTATGGAATCTGAAAGCATGTGCTTCAGAAGCAGCAAAGGCTTATGTGGTGGATGTGACAGGAGCATCAGTAACTGCAGACTCTAGTGTTAGCCTCATACATCGATATTGTCAACAACTCCCTGGCGACAGGTATTTAAATATTTCCCTGTCCATTTTTTTGGGTTAAGTATACAGTATAGAAGCAATTAACTTTTAATTGGTTTCCTTTACAATTTAGGTACTACACGCCAAAGCCAACTTTTCAGTTTGAAGTTTTTGAACAGTCTTGCCACTGTGCAATGAAACTACCTCCTAATGCAGCTTTTCAAACATTAGTTGGTCCAACATGTAGGAATCAACAATTAGCAAAGCAGCTTGTATGCTTGGAAGCATGTAAGAAATTACATCAAATGGGTGCTTTAGATGATCATCTTCTGCCATCAGTTGAAGAGCCTTCAGAAATTGCTGTTGTTAAAAGCAAGTCAACATCTGCAGGTGCAGGTATATGTTTATTATAATAAAATTCATATTGAATATTCCTATAAGAAACTCTATTAGCTCATTGGCCAAGCTTCAACATCCATTCTTTCTGGGTCATTAGTAAGAGTTGAACTTACTAGGATTTTTAGTTGGGTTTTCTCTTTTTTTACTATTAGAGAATCTATGAAAAATCATAGGTAAACTATGACTTGACTAAATTAGCCTACTTATTAGGTAATCCAGAACACATTCCTTCATCTGTAGTTGCCAACTACCATGCTTTGTTGATATCAGGTGGCCAATACTAAAGTATAGAGCAATTCTGCTGCATGTGTGCGATATCATCATTTGGAATGCTCTGAAGCAATAATGAAAAAAATAAAATGAAATTGTCAAGACATCAGTATGGTTCATGTAAGGACAAACATTATAATGCATTTGCTTTTGTGATTTAGCAAAGTTGGCAAAACCTTGATCGGCGGATACACTAATAGTTTCACATAATGTGTTTGGATTGCTGTATCAATCCTGGAAGGTGTAGCAGTGTTTCCCTCCTTGTTGTATGTAATAACTCATCGTTTCTCTGTCTGTTCCACTCTTGCCTATTCAGGAACTACAAAAAGAAAGGAATTGCATGGGACAACTTGCATTCGTGCGTTATCTGGAAGTTGGGGAGAGAAACTTGATGGAGCCACTTTTCATGCATACAAGTTTGACTTCTCTTGCTCCATTGTCAGTGAGATCTATTCTGGATTTATTCTTCTCATTGAGTCAAAGCTCGATGATGATGTGGGAAACATTGAGTTAGATCTTTATTTGGTTGCCAAGATAGTCAAGTCTTCTATTTCTTCATGTGGAGTAGTTCACTTGGATGCTGCGCAGGTATTAACATGTTGCATGCTAATTATCTCAGTAATTTTCTTTTTATCTTGGATTGGTTATTTCCTGAATGCTGTATCTGTTTTTTATTTTTTTATCAGATGATGAAAGCAAAACGGTTTCAAGAATTCTTTTTCAATGGCTTGTTTGGAAAGTTGTTTACTGGATCTAAATCATCTAGGGAGTTCTTACTTCAGAAAGAAACAACATCACTGTGGAGTCCCTCAAACATGTATCTGCTTCTACCACTAGAGCCATGGAGCATTTCCAGTAATGATTGGTGGAAAATAGATTGGAAGGGAATTGAAGCTTGCTCATCTGTGGTAGTATACTTGAAGAACTCTTTTTTGGCTGCTCGGTCTTACAGTGGTGGAGGAAATCCATTACCTGATAATGTTCTGCCATCCACCAAAGAATGCAATGGTACAAATTTAATCCACTTTGCTAATGCTTTAGTCAACGTAGAGAACATTAAAGAAATGGTGGTACTGGCAATCCACACGGGAAGAATCTACTCCATTGTTAAAGTCGTGAACGATTCATCTGCGGAGAGTGCTTTTGAGGGAAATGCTGATAATGTGACAGAGTTTTCTACATACAGAGAGTACTTCAACAAAAGGTTGGTGGGCCCAGCTGAGTCTTATGTTCATTTCTCCTCGTTATCATCTAAGTTTCCATACCTAACATCAGCTGCTCTCAGGTACGGAATTGTGCTGATGCATCCAGGACAGCCTCTGTTGCGGTTAAAGCAGAGCCATAACCCACACAATCATCTTGTAAACTTTAACGATGAAGGTTTGTTAGATTGTGTGTTTGAGATCTGTTATGAGGTGCAATTGTTTTCTTTTAGGCAACTCAGTCTCAGTCTGATTAACTGGCACTTCAATTCTAATATCTTGAAGTTAATCCTATGCTAAGATTATTGACAAAGTGTAAACCAGATTTGAAGAATTGGGAAATTCACCAATATGCATCAACTTCTCTCAATTATAAAAGCTTTGCAATTGACATTATAAGCTACTACATTGTCTTCTGAATCAGGCTGTGCAGTTGAATTTAGCAATGAGTTCCCTGTTCTGTTATCTGATTTGTTACATGTTCTATTAAATGACCAGGTGATTCAAAAGATGGCATGGTTGGCAGAAAACAGCAGCAACATGTGCATATGCCACCTGAGCTTTTGATCAAGATTGATGTTCCTATCAGTGTTGTAAAATCAATTTATCTGATGCCATCGTTGATGCACCGTCTTGAGTGCCTGATGTTGGCCAGTCAACTTAGACAAGAGATTGATTGTCATGCTCCTAATGTTTACATCCCAAGCTCATTGGTCTTGTCCCCTTAAATTGCTCTTCATTTTTCTGTATTTTAATGAATTATTCACCTGTAAGTTAATGCAGTCACCTGCTTTGATCATTAGATTCTGGAAGCGATAACTACACTTAGATGCTGTGAAAGTTTTTCGATGGAGCGACTGGAGTTGCTAGGGGACTCAGTTCTAAAGTATGCTGTCAGCTGCCACCTATTTTTAAAATATCCCAATAAACATGAAGGCCAGTTATCTTCATGGCGCTCAGGGGCTGTTTGTAATTCAACCCTACATAAATTGGGAACAGATTGTAAAGTACAGGTATTTGATTATGATACTTTTGGCTTCTAGTTCTATCTTTAAGAAGTATTATTTTCCATAAAAAATTGTGTTTTCTGAGTGCATGTGTTTTTTCCTCTTCCTTTGTGTTATTTTTTTTTCTGGTATTGTTTAATAACTTTGCTGATGTTCTGCGTTTGCAGAAACGAATTCCAGAAGATTTTTCAATTGAACCCAATGTTAATTTTCTTTTGGGATAGAATTTGTTAGTTTTTCTGTCCATTGAAGCATGCTCTCCCTGATTGTTTTGAGACTTGAATTGAAGTGTTTCACATTGCTGTGATTATCAAATGTTCTGCACTTGTATTTGCACCTGTATTTCCATGAAATGACTGTGATGTGGTATTTGAATCTGGACAAGTCTAAATAGTAGACCTTCTACTTCATATGTACACATGTATGTTCTGATCATCATCCATGCTAGTATACCTTCTACTTCATATTTGCAAATGTATATTCTGATCATCGTCCTTTTCTGTCACTCAATTTTACCAGAATTAATAGTTCAGGCACAGGGATTGATATGAAACTGAATAATCTTCTACGAATTTTATCCTAGCCATGATATTTTAAATCTGTAAGTGATTTGAATAGTTCATTTGCAATATGTGTCTGAAACAAAATGTTCTGCATTTCTTACATGCCAGGGATATATACTAGACAGTCCATTTGATCCCCGTCGTTGGACTGCTCCTGGACAGAAATCTGTTCGAACTCCTGTTCCTTGCAAATGTGGGGTTGATACTTTAGAAGTACCATTGGATCGTAAGTTCCAAACCGAAAGCGCAACTGTTAAGGTTGGAAGACCTTGTGATTCAGGCCACCGATGGATGGGTTCCAAAACCATATCAGATTGTGTTGAATCTGTCATAGGGGCATACTATGTCAGTGGTGGATTGATTGCTGCAATTCATGTGATGAAGTGGTTTGGCATTAATGTTGAACTTGATCCTTCACTAATAAGTGAAGCAATTACGAGTGCATCTCTACGATCTTATATCCCTAAAGAAGATGAGATTAAGAGTCTAGAGTCAAAGCTTGGGTATACCTTTGGTGTCAAGTTTGTCTTGCAGGAGGCCATGACTCATGCATCTATGCAAGAACAGGGTGTTACATACTGTTACCAGGTAATGAAATTTTTATCAACTTGGTCTTCTATTTTTCTTTTTCTTCTTTTTTTTTAGGGTAAACTACAATAGCCCTTGAAATTACAAATGACACCTAAAAGTTTGAGGATTTGAAAAAAACCCATTCTATGTTTAAGAAATCATTACAAATTCCCTTGCTGTCAAAGGGGATAATTTTAGCGCATGAAAGGTATTTTTGTTATAAAAGGAGGTTTCTGTAGTAGTTTCTTAAAATTGGAGGTGATTTGGTAAGATTTTCCAAACTTTTGGGTGGTGCCTATAATGTTCAAGGAGGTTATTTTAATTGACACTTTTTTTTATTTAAGTATATTTTCCTTATTCTGGTGGGTCAGCAGTGAAACCAATTTGGAAAAAAATAAAAATTTGAAATCTCAAGGTACAATAATTTTATCCGAGCAATTTTAAAACAGATTTCTGTAACATACATGAATGATCTCAATGTTTTATTTTTTCTTTTCATTTCATAATGTTAATATAGAAACGTTTACTCACTAAATGTATTTGATGTCGAGATGTAAGTGCACAAGACTCTTTATTTCCTGTAACTGTTTGCAATAATTGTAATGGGACTGCTGTTTCATATATTTCTTTTGGATTTTCGACAGAGGCTTGAATTTCTTGGTGATTCTGTATTGGACTTGCTTATAACATGGCATCTCTATCAGAGCCACACAGATGTTGATCCTGGCGAGCTGACAGACTTGCGTTCAGCTTCTGTTAACAATGATAATTTTGCTCAAGTTGCTGTTAAACAAAACCTATATACCCATCTTTTTCATTGTTCTACACTCCTTCAAAGTCAAATAACAGAATATGTAAATTCTTTTCATGAATCTAATCAAGGCACAAAGGCTCCCAAGGTAAGTTCCTATACTGACCCGCTCAATCTCTTATTTTCTTTATGTTAGAACCATGCTGTTTTCCTCAATTATATTGCTATCTTCAAAGGTTAGCAGCAACTAATCCTTTGAAGCTCTGATTATGGTGCTTTTTACATATCTAAACTTCTTGTGGTGGTTTGCTGTTCTGCAATCCTATTTATTAATGACAAATTGTTCTGATCATTGTCTTTCCTACAGGCTCTTGGAGACCTGATTGAAAGCATTGCAGGGGCATTATTAATCGATACAGAGCTCAATCTCGATGGTGTGTGGAGAATATTCAAGCCCTTGTTATCTCCAATTGTAACCCCTGAAAAACTTGAGCTGCCTCCACTGCGTGAACTTGTTGAATTATGTGACTCTATAGGGGTTTTTGTAAAAGAAAAATGTACCAAGAAAGCTGAGATGGTTCACGCCCAGCTTTGGGTACAGCTGGACAGCGAGCTCTTGTCTGGAGAGGGGTACGAGAAGAACAGGAAAGCAGCTAAAGGAAAAGCAGCTTCTTGTTTGTTGAAGAAGCTCCAGGTTTGTACTTCTGGGAATTGCAAGCATGCCTGTATGTTTTCATATTTTACCACTTGCTGGATCATAATAAACCAAAGATTGCGAATTGATCCCACTAATAAAACACTGAGCTGTTTTGGTTCTTTAGTTCTTTTTCTAGTAACTATCACTATTGTTGTAAGATTTCTTGGCTAATGGTCATACTTCTGAAACATCCATTCTGTACTTAAAAAGTCGTTCTGGTTGTTGTTTGGCTAGTAAATCCAACAGTAGGTTTCTAGAATGAGCAAACTAAAGATGATATTTATCCAGGAAAATTCATGGACGTGAAAGCTTTTTCAGCATTCTAATTCTTGCTTTTTTTTGTAAATTAAAATCAATGAAGAAATAATAGCATTTTAAGATATTTGTGTGACTTTGATGCGTTTCTGTCTTTGAAACATACAGTGATTAATTAATTGAATGTCTCTAAAGGCTTCAAAAAATCAAATTCATGTAAACTCTATTTTAACCCTTGTATGCTCATGTAAACAGAAAAGAGGCATCGTATACTCACGTGGAGGTTCAAAGAGGAGGAAACAGGACACTGACCCTGTTGTTGATTCAAGTTCCCTTGGCTTCTTAGAAAATGAAGATTTTTCTGGAAAAACAAAGCCAAAAAAGCAGAAAATAGAAAACCAAGTTCCCAGAGATTCAAATACAGATTGTTCCTCTGCCATCAGTCCTAGTCATGGTCCCCCAGGTATCCATCATCAAATTACTTGGCTTCCTATTTGATTCTAAATGTGATTCAGAGAAGGAACAGTTTATTTAATATGTGCTGCTCAAGGGCACACACTATCTCAGCTCCTTTCTGATCAAGTCCAATGCTTAACACCTATCTTATATTATCTTGCCATCTCAATTTTCCTTAAAACTGTTGCTAGCCCATCTTCTGCACCAGGAATGAATTGAAGAGTTAAGAGTTTGATTAATAAAATAAACACTTGTCATGGGACTGAGGGGGTAGTTTTTTGGTTCTTGCAAGAAAATTAGTGTGCTGGTTGGTGCCTGCAGATATATCTTGATTTTTCATTGTTAAATGAGTAGTCTTCTGCTTTCTGATGAATTCAATCGTACCCTCAAATATTGTGGAATATCTCGCTAAATCAACCCCTTTTGCAGTTATTGAGTCGATTAACAAGAAGAAAGGAGGACCTCGTACTAGTCTTTATGATCTCTGTAAGAAAGTTCAATGGACAATGCCTACATTTGACACAAGAGAAACGAAATCCAGGTTTGCCAACTCCACAAGCTTTTTTTTGGTCGCCCAAATTCTCGTTTATATACAAAGACCATTAATTTTCCATGCTAAATTTATTCTTTTCTGCATATTTGTCGTTCTAATTGACTTGTTCCCGCAGAACTGCAATTGAATTTGGTGAAGGCCCTGATAAAAGGAAGGGATTTAACAGTTATGTATCAAAAATCATCATGAACATACCTTCGTATGGCGTTGTTGAATGTGCGGGAGAGGCTAGTGCTGATAAGAAGACCTCATATGACTCTGCGGCACTTGCAATGCTTAATGAGCTTGAAAAACGGGGACAGCTCATCATTGATGAATCAAAATAAATCTTGCAGCTGTGGTATAGATTACCACTCTAATTTTGGGGAAGCAAGGTGGTGAGTTTCTATTTCTGATTTGGAACAGAGCAACTAGGAGGAAAGTAGTGACTAACAGCTAGAAGTGGTGCTGTAAGCGTAGGATCAATCCTCTTTGTCTCTTACTAAGCCTGGCAATCTCTTATATAGTTTGGGAATTACACGGGAAACCAAATATGTTGGATATTATACAGGAACTCCATTGGTTCAAATCTAAATCTAACATCCTCCCTTTTATTTTCATTTTCTTATGAACTTCAATTCTCTTACAGACTTCACAAAAAGCCACAAAACCAAGGGATAAAAGGATTTATTAATTAATTTTTTAAAAAAAAACTAAACTCACTGGACTTTTACCAATGCCAAATTACCATTTTTCCCTTGACAAATGGTAACTTGCAACTTGGTTTGAGAGATAAAATAGTCTTGGTTTGAGAGGTAAAATAGTCTTTTCATGATATTTAATTATCAGTTTAAAGTTCACAAGGTATCTAGGATGTAAAATTATTAAACTAGCTTTAAAAGCTAAAAATGCATTTCAAGCATTTTAAATTTTTTTGCATAGTATGATATTAAAAATACTTCAAAGTTAAAAATTTTTAGAGTTAAGGTGAAGGGTCTTTTCATCATTTCATTTATATTTTATGTAATTAGTAAGGTTATTCAAGTTTTTTAACAAAAATATAATATTATTTTAAATAAAAAGTTATTGTCATGTATAATGGATGCACAAATAAGTAAAAGGTGTTCAACGCTCTTTAAGTAGTGTATGTAGTGTTTTTCAATAGCTAAACATCACATTTTATGAAGATGTTCAAAACATTACACCACCCACATCATAGTAATGAGGCACTTGTTGGCTTCCCCTACACGATGGAGCTTCAACAACGATTTTTTTTCTTCCTCTTTTTTCTTTTTTTATATCATTGAAAAACATGTTATCCTTGCAAACATTCAGAAAAGAATGATCATCCGTTAATTTTATCAACTTTGATTCTTACAACGATTTTTTTTCTTCCTCTTTTTTTTCTTTTTATATCATTGAAAAACATGTTATCTTTGCAAACATTCAGAAAAGAATGATCATTCGTTAATTTTATCAACTTTGATCCTCATTTTTTTTAATTCTAATTTTTTTCATCATTTTTTTGTTGTTTTATTTTTTCAATTTTACCTCTCACTATTTGGTTGATTGAGATTTGCCTTCATAATTTTTTAGGTTTAACTTTTATGGTTTAATCCAACATTATTACCAATGTCACGAGTTCAAGGGATTAGACCATGTTGGATTCGATTTTTTTTCAAGTTTTTATGAAATTGATTTTTTTTCTATTTCATCCTTTAGCAATGTGTAGGTTAGGGATTTGTATTCAATATTTTTTTTTCACTTCACTTTCTATAGATTAATCATGATTTGATACTCAGATTATGGATTTGATGGATATATTAGGGTTAACTTAGGTCTTTTTTATGTTGCTTTTTTACTACTTTTATTGTTTTATTGACTTAGTTCATTTGAGAATTAAGCTTCATTATTTTATTTGATTTGGTTTTCATTTAAGAATTAAGTTTCATTATTTTTTTTGTTTTGCTTTCTATGAAGTTATCCTAGTTTCATGACTAAATCACAAATTTAGCTTATTTTCTCAGATAAATTTGGGTCTTTTTTTTCTTTTATAATTTTTTATTTCAATTTCCTTAGTTGACATTTTATTTGCTAAAAATTGAGATTCATTCTTTTTTCATTTTGCTTTCTAAGTGATCATCTTATTCTCATTTATTTTTTGCTTTGTTAACAAATAAGATCATTGCGACCTTTTAAGAATATTCAAAAGATATATTTCCATTGTTTTAACAAGCATTTTTTTTTCATTAAATCATTATTAGTTTTTGTTTTTTGCTTTATTTGTTATTGATGTCTTTTGTTTTTTTTGTAATCATATTATTTGACTAACCAAACTTATAAAACACTATATAATCAAATACCTAAATCTCTTATTTTTCTTGATTTTTTTAAAACACAAACATCATCTTAACAACTTGCTACAGTGAAATGCTAAGGCTTTATGCTAGGAGAGATTTAATCCTGCCCACAAGTAGTGCAAGTTACCTATTTAGTATCTAATAAAAGGTTTTGACATTTCACTATGGCGATGAAAAAGTAAAGTATCAATGCTTTTTTAATCTTTGACATTTCACTATGGCGATGAAAAAGTAAAATATCAATGCTTTTTTAACCTTTTTTTTAATTTAAAGCTTAGCTCTTATTTTAATTTTATCTTTCAACATTAAGTTTATTGAGTATTGCACTTCATAATTTATTTATTTTTTATTTGATTTATATGGAGTTATCATTGTGAGATTACTAATTTTGCAAGTTGGCCGTGTTGACTCAGGTTATTTTGTTTTTTTTAATTATTTTTTTATCAACTTCATCTATCAACATTAGGTTTATTGGAAAGGCTTCATAATTGTTTTATAGATTATTTTTTATGAGTTTATCATCATCTTATAACTTAGATTGTGAGCTTTTCAAGTTAACCAGGTTTACTTAAGTTGTTTTATCCCTTTTTAATTAATTTTTTTTTATCAATTTCATTATTCAATATTTGATTCATTAAAAATTAAAATTTAAAAATTATTTTTTATTTACTTTTTTATGAAGTTATCTAATCTCCTAATTTGAGTTTGACAGATTAACCCAAATTGACTTCGGTTTTTTTTATCTTTTTTATTTTATTTTATTTCTAATTTAATCTTTTAATATTCAGTTAATTGGAAATATTTCTTCATATTTAATTTTTATTTAATTTATATGGGTTTATCACAGTGTTAATGTCCAGGTCACGAGTTAGGATGGTTGACTCATGTTTTTTTTATCTTATTTTGGTTGAATTTTTTTCTTCAATTTTTTCCTTTAATATTGGGTTAGTTATGAATTATGCTTCATAATTTGTTTTGATTTATATTTTATGACATTATCATAGTCCCATGATCCAGGTCACGGTTTTGCTCGGTTGACTCAAATGGTTTTTTTGTCCTTTATTTTAGTTGATTTTTTTCTATTTCTTCCTTCAACATGAGTTGATTAAGAATTAAGTTTCATAATTTATTTTATATAGGGTTATCTCGGTCTTATGATCTAGGCTTAACATGTTAACTAGGGTTGAATTAACTTATTTTTTTAGTTGAATTTTATTTTTAATTTCATGCTTCAACATTAAAGTGATTGAGAATCATGTTTAATATTTTTTTTTTGTGTTTTTTATAGAGTTATAAGGGTCTCATGATCTTTAAAGCAAGAAAAAAAAATTAATGCATGGAACAAAGGGATACTCTTTCTTCTATAAGTTTCATAATCAATTAAAAGAGATCCAATGTAAGAAGATATAATTTTAGGATTTGTTTTGATAACTTGTATTAATATGAATATTTTTTAAAGTTTATTTATTGTTTTAATTAATATTTGGTATGGTTATATTTCAGATTTAAAGCTTTTATTTATGTTGGCTTTCTTTTGACCCAAAATCAACGCTTGTTTTAGGTATTAGACTTGTGCTTAACTGAGTTTGAGTTAAGATCTATTGATTTGCAGTCTAATATAGGATCATTATTGTTATTATTTTAGACCATATTATGTTTTATTTTGCTACAAGTTTGGAGCAGCCTTTAAACGTGAATGAATTTCAATTTTCCTTGCAAAAACTTCTTTTTCTTTGCTATGATGAAGATTATATCCGATGTATGAAGGTATAACAAATCTTTTGATATCATTTGCAATCATCCAGCACCTTTAGTTTTAAGTTACTGGTTAACTCTGAGTTCAGATTTAACCAAACCTAATTATTCAATGTTCTTAGAAAAACTGTCATCTTCATTGTGAATTACATGACCAGGTGATTATGAGATTCATATTAAGACCATTGAAAATCAAAGAGAAATATATATATATATTAAAGTTTTCATCTAGTTTTTTAAAGAGGCAAATTTCTAAAATATATATTAATTTTATAGATTTAAATAAATGGTTGTTTATATCTAAACAAAAATAAAAATAATATTTACTGCATCATTTTTTAAATGAGGTATTTTTTTAAAATTTATTTTCCACGTGTCTTTAATTGTCCTCATTTGTTTTTATCCTGGTTGCAAGTTATTTATTGACAAGTTATTTATTGGTTCCATAGTTAGGATAATATCGTGAGCTACGAGTCTTGCAACCTTATAATATTTTTTTGTAATTTTAAATTTATTTATTTATAGTTCCTTGATCTTTTATTATTATTATTATTTAAAAAGCACGTCCCATGGTGGTCCTATTTGGACGAGACTCAGTGAGCCTGTTATTGAAGTTACTTTTGGAAAAAAATAATGACATACAAGAAATATACATTCACAAATCGAAACAAAGACATGTTATAAATTATTCTAATAATAAATAAATCACACACCGATGTTTAAAATTGACCTTCAGGAGTGAAGTCACTGAAGCAAATATAATGAGGGGAAATAATGGCAACGCATGGGCTACAGGCATGGAGATATTAGCTGGATCGAGGCGCGTTATTGCATGCATCAGTGATGTAAGAAGATGCATGGACTAGCAAATTGACTGCTCCTCTTCTCCTTCTTGCTGCCTACACCGGCGATGTAAATCATCTCCACCTGGCTAATGAGCTTGGGGCGAGGAAAGGTGGTTGTTTCGCTAGTTCCCTGCCACTCCGACAAGAACCGGTTCGCTAGTTCCCTGCTGTTTATGACAAGAATATTTAAACTAAGTAGGAGTGTTAGAAAAAATTATATTGTTGTTTTTTTTTATTGTGAATTTCTAATTAATTAAAGTTTTTTTTTTGAAGATGTAGTATCTCTTTCCACTCTGTTTGATTCGTCTTTTTTATTTCCCTTATTCTGTTTTGCATTATTATTTTTAGTACCTAATCATCTTAGTGGATTTTTCTTTCTTTCATCTTATTTCACCCCTAAATTATTTTAATTATCTTTTAATTATTTTATTTTTATTTACCTATTTTATCAGACAAAATAAAATACAATAAAACAATAATGAAAATTAATTAAACTTGATTTTTTTTTAAATTATATGAAACAATTAGCGTTCAATAACGGGACACGGCATCCAGAATGTGTAGGAGTCAAGTCTTTGCATACACAATGTTTGGTCAAATGCCCCAGCGACACATTATATCCTAATCAAAAGAAGTCCTTGAATTTGGATTGTCCTTCAT